TTGGTGATATTATAAACAACATGACTATTATTATATTATGACTGGAAATGGGAACAGTCCCGTTATTTGCATTAGCGCGGGAGGAAATGATGTTGGTCGAGTTAGGAGTGAGGATCCTGAGGTATAAAACAGCCATAGAATTAGTTAGAAGCAAGGGAGGAATCCCATCATATGTGGCATTCTTCCAAGAAAGGGAGTGGGAAATGAATGGATGTCGAGGGCACTTGGTGTCAGTTGCCGGCTGGAAAGATATTGCAAATCAAATGCAATATCCTTCATAGACAACTGGGAACACTTCTATGGAAGAAATGAAATGTATGCTCGGGATGGGGTGCATCTATCGAGGGCTGGGGTTGTTGTTGTTGCGAATTCGTTGGAACCAGTGGTTAGAGGCGTTTGTTTGGGTTTAAACTGTCAGTAGATAGTGGTATGGGAATTGATTTAGAGGAAGGAAGTATTAAAAGTATGTGTTTTGGGGAGAAAAGAATTGACAAGATGATCAAGGAAAGAGAAGGGCCTCAAAAAAACGATTCACTTAGGGTATATTACACTAACACTAGAAGTTTAAGAATTAACATAAACTATTTAAATGCTCTTGTCTGCACAGAAAAAAAATAGATATTATTGCACTTACCGAAACGTGGATGAATGTAGAAAATAGAGAGCTATTAGCTGAATATCAAATAAATGGATTTAAACTATTTCACACAGATAGATATATTAGACGAGGAGGGGGAGTAGCCATATATGTTCGGGACAATTTGAAATGTAGTCTCAAAGAGGGAATCAAAACTGAGCACCATACAGAAACTATTTGGATAGAATTAAACGAAAAATCAAATAATATTATAATAGGAGTTATATATAGGCCACAAATTTAGACAGAATGGAAGCAAAGCATCTATGGGATGAAATATCTAGAGCATCTAGATCTAACAGTATTTATGTCATGGGTGATTTTAATTTTAGTGGAATAAACTGGTTGAACAAAACAGGTAATAATGTAGCAGAAGATTTTCTAGAATTAATTGATGATTGCTTTCTTACGCAACACATTAAGGAACCAACACGGGAAAATAATATTTTAGATTTAGTGTTAACTAACAGGGAAACACAAATTAAGGATATCGAAATAGGGAGTGAGCTAGTGAGCAGTGATCATAAAGTAATCAGATTTAGCATAAAGATTTGATCATAAAGAAATTCAGATCTATTCCGATCAAATCGGAATAGATCTGTAGGAGAAAATTCTGTTAAAGTGCCTGATTTTCGAAAAGCTGATTTCAATAGCCTAAGAATTTTTTTGGGTCAAATAGATTGGAAAGTCTTGGGTATTGGGTGCGGGCAGGTATTGAAGCTAGACGTGAACCCAGCGATAGGTGACGTACAAGGGGTTATCAATGTGGATTCAAAATATAACCTATTTATAAACATTCAATATGCCATCAGCCGAACAAGTCTATGTGGGTGGGACGAGGACAGGTTGACTAGTTTAGCAGTTACCATGGGAGGATGTAATTAAACAAATAGTAAAACTCAAACCAGGGCCGGATGAAGTGTTTGCCAGGGTGCTTAAAGAATGCAAAGAGGAGCTTTGCAACCCACTGTCTACCATATTTAATAAATCAATAGAGTCAGGCAGAGTGCCAGAGTTATGGTAAGTTGCTAATGTGATACCAGTTTTTAAGAAAAGAGATAGATCACTTGCGTCAAACTATCGGCCAATTAGCCTAACGTCTATTGTGGGAAAGTCACTGGAATCGATAATTGCAAATAAAATTCGTCTTCATCTTGGAAAACATAAATTAATAATTGAGTCGCAACATGGTTTTATAAATGGCCGTTCATGTTTAACAAATTTGTAATCTTTTTATTCTAGCATAGTTGAGGCAGTTGATAGTGGTAAGGATTGTGATGTTATGTACCTTGACTCACTGTATCAAAAGGAAAGCTTTTGATACAGTGCCATATGAAAGACTGATTAAAAAGATAGAGGCTCATGGTATTGGGGGTGCTATATTAAGCTGGATTAGGGAATGGCTATACCAAAGGAAACCGAGAGTTAGAATAAATCAAGTCAAGTCAGAGTGGGGAAAATGTTGTAAGTGGAGTGCCTCAAGGCTCTGTCCTGGAACCTCTGTTGTTTATAATATATATAAATGATTTAGATTCAGGTTTGAGTAGCAACATTTGCAAATTTGCCGATGATACAAAAATCGGTAGGGAAATTAATACGGAAGAGAACTCACTATCACTTCAAGTTGATCTAAATACGGTTTTGAAATGGTCAAAGGATTGGCAGATGCAATTTAAGGCTGATAAATGTAAAGTTCTGAGGCTAGGTAATGATGATAGAGGTACAAGATACGAGCTAGATGGCGTTGAGATTGCAAAGTCTGATTGTGAAAGGGATCTGGGAGTTATGATTAGTAAGAATTTAAAACAAAAGGATCAATGCATGAATGTTCGTAATATGGCAAATAGGACACTGAGATTTATTAATCGAAGCGTTAGTAACAAGACATCAGGTGTGGTTCTTCAGCTATATCTAGCTTCTGGTCTACCATATTTAATAAATCAATAGAGTTAGGCAGAGTGCCAGAGTTATGGAAAGTTGCTAATGTGATACCTGTTTTTAAGAAAGGAGATAGATCACTTGCGTCTAACTATCGGCCAATTAGCCTAACATCTATTGTGGGAAAGTTACTCGAATCTATAATTGCAAATAAAATTCGTCTCCATCTTGAAAAACATAAATTAACAATTGAGTCGCAACATGGTTTTATAAATGGCCGTTCATGTTTAACAAATTTGTTATCTTTTTATTCTAGCATAGTTGAGGCAGTTGATAGTGGTAAGGATTGTGATGTTGTGTACCTTGATTTTACCAAAGCTTTTGATACAGTGCCACATGAAAGACTGATTAAAAAGCTAGAGGCTCATGGTATTGGGGGTGCTATATTAAGCTGGATTAGGGCCTGGCTATACCAAAGGAAACAGAGAGTTAATATAAATGGAGTCAAGTCAGAGTGGGAAAATGTTGTAAGTGGAGTGCCTCAAGGCTCTGTCCTGGGACCTCTGTTGTTTATAATATATATAAATGATTTAGATTCAGGTTTGAGTAGCAACATTTGCAAATTTGCCGATGATACGAAAATCGGTAGGGAAATTAATTAGGAGGAGGACTCACTATCACTTCAAGTTGATCTAGATAGGGTTTTGAAATGGTCAAAGGATTGGCAGATGCAGTTTAATGCTGATAAATGTAAAGTTCTGAGGTTAGGTAATGATAGAGTTACAAGATACGAGCTAGATGGTGTTGAGATTGCGAAGTCGGATTGTGAAAGGGATCTGGGAGTTATGATTAGTAAGAATTTAAAACAAAAGGATCAATGCATGAATGTTCGTAATAAGGCAAATCGGACACTCGGATTTATTAATCGCAGCGTTAGTAACAAGACACCTGGTGTGGTTCCACCAGGTGGGGGAATATTAATAGGGGGGGATATTAATAGGGTATTAAAAGTATCAACACAGGACAGAACACGAAACAATGGGTATAAATTGGATAAGTTTAGATTTAGGAAAGACTTGGGTAAATACTGGTTCAGTAACAGGGTTGTTGATTTGTGGAACCAATTGCCGCGTAACATTGTGGAGGTGGGGTCCCTCGATTGTTTCAAGCACGGGTTGGACAAGTATATGAGTGGGATTGGGTGGTTATAGAATAGGAGCTGCCTCGTATGGGCCAATAGGCCTTCTGCAGTTACCTTTGTTCTTATGTTCTTAAGCTATATCTTGCTCTGGTTAGGCCCCATTTAGATTATGCAGTTCAGTTTTGGTCGCCTTATTATAGAATGGATATAAATTCACTTGAACGTGTCCAGCGTAGGATGACTAAGTTAATTCCCCAAATTAGAAGACTTTCATATAAAGAAAGATTAGCAAAGCTTAAGTTGCATTCACTGGAAAGGCGAAGAGTTAGGGGTGACATGATAGAGGTTTACAAGTGGATGAATGGACATAACAAAAGGGATATTAATAGGGTATTAAAATTATCAACACAAGACAGAACACGAAACAATGGGTATAAATTGGATAAGTTCAGATTTAGGAAAGACTTGAGTAAATACTGGTTCAGTAACAGGGTTGTCGATTTGTGGAACCAATTGCCGCGTAACGTGGTGGAGGTGGGGGTCTCTGGATTGTTTCAAGCATGGGTTGGACATGTATATGAGTGGGATTGGGTGGTTATAAATAGGAGCTGCCTCGTATTGGCCAATGGGCCTTCTGCAGTGGCCTTTGTTCTTATGTTCATATGTCCTTATGATGAGGGTCGTCGATAATCCTGTTCTGGTTCTCAGTTTTTCACCTGGTTTCCCCGTTTGTGGCACTGATGTTGCCACAAGGAATCGATCTTGTAATATCTCCTTTCTAATGCTTTAATAATTCACAGTGAGATGCTGATTACTGTACACTGCATGGGACCAAAACCATGCTTAGGTCTCTTCACCACTTAAATATCCCTGGATACTGGCGGTAAATCATGCACACGCATTGACACGTGTGCGTGTCAATGACACGCACACGTGTCATTGACGTGTGCATATCACATTAGTCAATGACTCAGTGACTAATGTGTGTTAGTGGCTTTGGAAGAATGCACCACCTAATCACCAACGTCTGCACATTTATTACCCATTGTACCATCTAATGTTTATATAAATAAATAAAACATATAAATAGTTCCATCTTGCAAACTCTATGCCTGGGTAGGTGTCTATTTAGTATTGTATCGTAGTTTTCAAAGCAGAGATAATTAATCCCAGAAAAATATATATGAATATAATTGATTGGGTGGTTATAAATAGGAGCTGCCTCGTACATGCCAATAGGCCTTCTGCAGTAACCTTCATCCTTATGCTCTTATGTTCTTATATATTGCCTCAAATGAATCCTTTTCTTTCAACATGCTTTGTAATATGGTGTTTCCTTACCAGGAAAGCAACACGTCAGACTTGGCCAAAGACCAAGTGCTGGCTAAGAAACTGTGGAGTACTAGTGAGCGGCTGGTGAAGCTTAAACCTGAAGAAACACATTACTAACCCTCTGCCATTACCTGTACCTACGAAGTGAGACTGCTAGCATTTATTACCACCTGGACCACAGGAGAGAGACTACAAACCATCTATTACCACCTGGACCACAGGAGAGAGACTACAAACCATCTATTACCACAAGGACCCCAGAAGAGAAACTTCTAGCTTCCTCCTCGACATTATTAAAACTTCAAGAATTTGATATTTTATTTTGCTTCATATTTCATATCAATACTGTAAAAATAGCACATTTAATTGCATAATTATGGAGTTATTTACAAGTTTATGTTTGTAGCTGGAAATAATTCTGTCCCTCCATCTGATCACAGATCCTTGAGCTATGTTCGATTGCTCATTTGCAAATCATTTATTAATACAATACTGTTTTGCTTCCTTTGTGGTATTTGCTTGAAATATTTTGGAACCAAAATAAGATACACATACAAAACAAAAAATTTAGTTTCAATAATTCATTTTTATTTTGTTACAGGCAGGCAGCCTGTGCATAAATATACACTAGGTTCATATTGACGTCCTCCAAGGTTGAACTATTGACACTCCCCCAGGATGTAACTCTGCAATACTTGACTAACTCCTGGGTACCTATTTATTGCTAGGTGAACGGGTGCATTTGGCAAAAGGAAATGTGCCCAACCATTTCTATCTTGCCTAAGATTTGAACCTGGGTTCCCAATTGAGAGTCGAGAACGAATTGTTCTACCAAAACCCTACTCCAGTTTCACAGAGGCATATTTAGCCTTTTAGTACGAGCTTTATTACTGTAATTACCTAATTTCTCTTTTCTGAAGAGGCCAAAGGGTGGCTCCCTGCAGTAGCTCTAATTGTGAGTTACATGGGTCTTAATAGTGCGGAATGACCTGCCAGGGACCAAACCGGAACCTTGCCCTTCGTAGAGGCATGGGAAGCAAGACATTGTTACGATCTCCCTTACTAAAGGAAACATGCAGAAAGTAGGCGAAAGAATACAGACAACTGCAAGGCTCACAAAGAAAATAACTGAAGCCGAAAACGACTCTACAAACGATTCACTCAGTAACTACATTGAATCCCAACCGCTGCAACTGGCTTTCAACACGTGGAATCACCACCGGGAGCTGCCGGCTTCGATATCATGAGAAACTCAGTCTAATTGCTGATGTCCACAAGTGTGGATGTTACAAATAATGTGTATGTTCTATGGGGAGTCTAGTATAACATGGATGTAGGGGCAGTAGTTAGCATTAAGAGTTATCAAATATGGGAGATCTAAAAGGCCCGGCCCCCATTAAATATATAAACATAAACTTGTAGTGGCTTATTACAGCAATAGTTAGCCTAGAGGTTGACCATAGATCTCCTACACAGGAAAAATGGATACTCCTTTAACTTACTAACTTATTTATTAACCCCTTAACAACCCCCCATATACATTCACACCAATAACAATAATAATTACTTTACCACACTATCTTACGTTAAAAGCCTTGGTCCACATAAGCAGGATACAAGGTTTACACTGAGAAGAAGCTTGGGTAAAATACTACTGGTTAAGAACTGAAGCTTGATGCAGCTTAGGGTAGTGAGACCACGTGGTACCCTAATACAACACAACACAGCACTACACTTAGGGTACCCAAAACACTGGCAAATACTACCCCCAGGTCTCACCAATCTTTCACTACCAGAGTAGGCACACTTACAAACACAGGGTATAACTTAACTTAAGGTAAGGGAAATAAATAAGAGGGAAGGTAGAAGGGGAGAGAGGGGCAGCCATAGAGTCTCAATGTTTACACCTCAAACGCCAACAGAGAAGAAGGCTTCCAGCGACCAGATCAGGGCTCCCGCATTGTGTGGTGCCGGGAGGAGCCTAATTGATCGTGCAGCTAAAGACATTAAAAATCTTCCCCTATGCCTCATATTGTTACTTTACTCGTTCTCAGGATAGTTAATGTTATAACAATGTTATACTTAATCCACAACAAGCTCAAGAGTCAGAGTGCTTGTGAGCAACAAGATTCGTCCTACGTTTGGCAGGGAAGATACGAACAAAGACACGTCGACTTGCGTCTTGCTAATCTAACGTAGCTTATTTAGTTCAATTTGATCTCTGGTTTCCACTTGAGGAACCCAGGGTAGTAACAGTGGACCTCATTCAGACACCAGCTTTAGAGTCTTTGTCTTCTAACATATGTGTGGCACATTATTTGAACTGTATCCAGTTGGGATCATTTGCTCTGTGCGCTGTTTGTAAAAATAGTGTTTGCTTTACATGCTTGGTTTCCATGCTTCACTTGTTGTGTGGATTTAGTTTCTGATTCGCTTCGTGCTAAATATGTTTAGAGCAGCCATTCCATAGGCGCTCTTTAGTATTGCCCACTGCTCGGACAGTGACTTCTCTGGTGAGTTCAGGAGATGGCCTCTGAGAGGACATACTACTGTCTGGTAATATTCTTTGGGTAATTTTCCGGTCATCGACTCTTCTGCGAGGATCTGTGGTTGAGGGAATTCGTGGTTTATTGTTGTTGGCGTGCAGTGGGGTTAGTGTGTTTGAATATATATTACATCTCCGATGCCTTTCATAGCATCTGTGGGATGCGTCAGATCTTCTACAGAGCGTTCCCGGTGCCTGCTTGGGCCTTACCTTCAAGCCCTGGCTACTGCCTCGGGTCTTTGGTGTGGCTCGTTAAGGTTTAATCCTCTGAGCAGACACTTGGTCCTTGCGTGTTTGAGGGATGCCTGTTGTTAGCGCCAACACTCACTGGGTCTAGTCTAGTTACTGTCACAACCACACACAACCATCTACCAACACTGCTTCCAACAACAACCTTCTACCACCACTGCCACCAGCCACAACCATCTACCAGCACTGCCTCTAACCACAACCATCTACCAAAACAGCTAGCAACCACAACCATCTTCCGACACTGCCACCAGCCACACAACCAACTACCAACACTGCCACAATCTACAGCCATCTACTACCACAGAGGCAAGGTTTAAGGTGGCAAGTCCTGCCTCAGAGGGTTAATTGAATTCTATGACCAGGCAACAAAAATCAGGCAAGAAAGAGAGGGATGGGCAAACTGCACATTTTTGGATTGCTAGAAGGCCTATGATACAGTACCACACAAAAGGCTAGTGAAAAAGCTGGAGATGCAGGCTGGAGTGAAAGTGAAGGTACTCCATTGGATAAGGGAGTACCTAAGCAACAAAAGACAACGAGTCACTGTGAGAGGTGAGGTCTCAAATTGGCGAGACGTAAGGAGTAGAGTCCAGCAGGGGTCAGTCCTTGGACCTATACTGTTTCTGATATATGTAAATGATCTCACGAAGGGTATAGACTCGTTTCTCACAATGTTTGCTGATAACGCTAAAATTATGAGGAGGATTGAAACAGAGGAGGATAGTAGGAGGCTACAAGATGACCTGGACAGATTGAGTGAATGGTCCAACAAATGACTTTTCAAGTTCAACCCGAGTAAATGCAAAGTAGTGAAACTAGGCGGCGGAAACAGAAGGCCAGACACAGGATACAGAATGGGACATGAAGCACTTCATGAAACGGCCAGAGAGAAATATCTAGGGGTTGATATCACACCAAACCTGTTTCCTGAAGCCCACATAAAAAGAATTACGTCTGCGGCATATGCGAGGCTGGCTAACATCAGAACAGCGTTCAGGAACCTGTGTAAGGAATCAGTCAGAATCTTGTATACCACATATGTAAGACCACTCCTGGAGTATGCTGCCCCAGCATGGAGCCCGTACCTTGTCAAGCACAAGACGAACTTGGAAAAAGTTCAGAGGTTTGTCACTAGACTAGTCCTAGAGCTAAGAGGCATGAGTTACGAGGAAAGGCTGCGAGAGATGCACCTTACGACACTGAAAGACAGAAGAGTAAGGGAAGACATGATCTCTACCAACAAAATTCTCAGGGGTATTGGCAGGGTAGACAAGGATAAACTATTCAACACTGGTGGTACACGAACAAGGGGACATAGGTGGAAACTGAGTACCCAAATGACCCACAGGGACGTTAGAAAAAACTTTTTTAGTGTCAGAGTAGTTAACAGGTGGAATACATTGGGTAGTGATGTGTTGGAGGCTATCTCCATACAGAGTTTTAAATGTAGATATGATATAGCCCAGTAAGCTCTGGGATTCTTCTTCTTGAGGTTATCTTGAGATGATTTCGGGGCATTATAGTGTCCCCGCGGCCCGGTCCTCGACCAGGCCTCCACTCCCAGGAAGCAGCCCGTGACAGCTGGCTAACACCCAGGTACCTATTTTACTGCTAGGTAACAGGGGCATAGGGTGAAAGAAACTGTGCCCATTGTTTCTCGCCGGCGCCCGGGATCTAACCCGGTATCAAACCCGGGACCACAGGATCACAAGTCCAGTGTGCTGTCCGCTCGACCGACCGGCTCCCAGCTCAACAGTACTACTGCTATATAGTACACAAAACACACACTCTCTCTCTCTCTCTCACCCTCACTCCCCTCGGCTTTGCGTTTTAATCCTGATTTGTAAGTTAAATCTGACTGTGGACTCTCTAGCAGCCGACAGTATGGCGTTATGTCGATACGTTAGACGAACAGAGGCGGAGGAGAGCAGTTACTCCGCGTGGACGAACGATCATAACTACCCCGCCGAGATTACTCCTGCTCGTCATTGTCGTCATTCAACACGGCAAGCTGGAAAAACAGGAGGAGCAGTAAGTGAGTAGGTAGTGGTCTTTTTTTTGTTTTGGTAGGGACGCGAATCTTATTTTCCTCGGCGTCACCCATCTATACACCAGTTGATTGACGGTTGAGAGGCGGGATCAAAGATCCAAATCTCAACCCCAACAAGCACAATTAGATGAGTACAATTAGGTGAGTACAGTTACAACGATCTTCCAACACTGCCACCAGCCCCAGCCACAACCATTTACCAACCGCAGGCGATGAGTCACAATAACGTGGCTGAAGTATGTTGACCAA